GAGCAGAAACACAGACACACGGTTTCAGTGTCATTTCCATCTGTACATTTTTATTCTTGGACTCTACTACAGCAGCTTTGTATGATTTGCAGTACAAAATAATCCTTCTTTGTATTACACTGGATCCTGTGCAGCCCTTCAGCTCCTCCTCTCCCTGGAATAAGCAGGTGTGTGTCAGGAATGCCTTTTTATTCTTGGAATAACTCGTCTTTTCTTTTCATTCTTTGTAACAGAGCCGGCCTGAAGGAGAGCGACGTCATCATCAGCATCAACGGCGAACGAATCACCTCTGCCAGCGACGTCAGCGCCGCCATAAAGCGGGACGACACGCTTCGAATGGTGGTGAGGCGAGGCAACGAGGATGTCATCCTCACCGTCATCCCCGAGGAGGTCGACCCTTGACCTCTCAGCTGACTGGGCTACCATTCAACGCAACACCTTAACCGCTCATGCGATCTCGAGCTGGCTCTCAGTGTTTTTCAGCCAATCATGAACACTTAAAAAAAGAACAAATATGTTAGGGTGTGTCTGGGGCCACACCTAGAATTTGTAATTATTAGTACGGCTACTCGTCTTCCATTTTTATAGCGCTGACACACCTTCGGAGGTTCGTCACTCTGGGATCTGATGCTTCACCCCTGTCATTGTACGGCTCATATTAGCTCTCATCTTTCCTCTTTTCCATCCTCACAGACCGTTTATATCCTACTAACACCACCTGTCGCTACAAAGAGGTTACTGCAGGTTTCCGTAGTTTCACTGTATGTTCTCCATGGGATGTTTTTAATAGTGGTTTTTTTTCAGTATGTGTTTGATGACAATGTTTTCAAAAAAGGGAATAAAATTATTTTTAAAAAAGTCTCTTTATTAATACTTTATTTACCCAACATTTGTACAAATATTCACTACAAATGGTGCATCGAGGGAAACCGCTGACCTTAGTCACAGCCGATCTCAATAAGAACGCCAGGCTTTGAAATTTGTGTGACATTTTTGCTTTTTCTCACATTTTAACTGTTCCTGAACTCCGAGGATCCGT